ACCTTACTGATTGCTGGTGATGATGAACCTGAACCGGAGGCCTGGCCATTATCCTTAGAAGGGGGGTGAAACCTGTCTGGCAGAGATACAGGGTTTTCCTTTGGCATCTTTGCGGCTATACTTAAATTGGCACCTGACGTTACAGCATTCCATTGGGCGCCCCACCCCTAAAGGAATCCCTCTCACTTAAGCCTGGACTCTTACCCAAAAGCTTTCCAGTGTTCCAGAAGCATTAATGGGACTGGTGAATCTCTAGGCTACCTCCTGCACCCTTGTAACACTTGTATGTGATTCAGATGGTCATGGGTTCATTCCCCACTGGAATCTAGGAGACGGACGTCTCCTCCAGCATGTATCTCTTTGGTGGGGTAATGAAAATTTTAATGATACAGGGAATAGAAAGCTGATGCGCTTTCTTCAGTGGTGCCTCGTGGGGAACTGATCAGAAATCTGTTGAGTGGTAGGAACTAATTCACCCTATCTTGTCCCTGGAAGATCCCCAGCCTCCATCAGAACCTCACCCACAGTAATCAAGCTGGCCTGTTACTCCAAATATGTTGAAATTTAAGATATTCCTCTAACTATCCTCACTGTGCTAAACAGAACCACTTATCATGCATTGTTTATAAATGACTGATTTTGATCATGAGATCTCTTTTATTCCAGGAAAAGAAAAAACCCTGTCTTTAGAAAACACTGGTTATTTCCTTCTGTGTGGAAGAAGTGCATACCCCACACTTGCCCTAAATGGGAAGTGCGCTTGGAGCCCTGTCCTCACTCCTGATGCTGGAGTTGGGAAAACCCTGCCTTCCATCGCCCTTGGGCCCAATCTGGGTTCCTTCTCCTGCCATCTTGAGAGAGCACATCGTAGCTGGGATGGATACAATTTTGGGTGGATGCCTACAGATACGCTCATAGTAGATAGAAAGGGATTTGCCCTTTGGACTTTTTCCCTTGAGTTGGAGTAGCAGAACTTGAAAAGGCAGTTAAGAATCTCTTCAGATTCATGGCTACTACCTTAATGCTTATGTCAGAGCTTTTGAATATCAACAAACCCAAGTAGACAGCCTAGCAGAAGTTGTCTTACAAAACTGCAGAGCCCTAAACCTCCACACTGCATAGCATGGGGGAACCTGTGCCCTGCTTGAGGAAGAATGTTGGGGGTTTTTTTGTTTTTTTAAATTTTATTTATTTACTTACTTATTTTTGGATGTGTTGGGTCTTCATTGCTGCACGCGGGCTTTCTCTAGTTGCGGTGAGCAGGGGGCTACTATTGCGGTGCACAGGGTTCTCCCAGCGGTGGCTTCTCACTGCGGAGCACGGGCTCTAGGTGTGTGGGCTTCAGTAGTTGTGGCACACGGGCTTCGTAGTTGTGGCTTGCGGGCTCTAGAGCACAGGCTCAGTAGTTGTGGCTCTAGAGCGCAGGCTCAGAAGTCTTGGGACTTCCCTGGTTCTTAACCAGGGAAGTCCCAAGAATGCTGTTTTTATGTTAACAAATCGGGAAAAGTAACACAAGGACTGAAAGTAGTGAAAAAGGGCTTCCCTGGTGGCTCAGTGGTTAAGAATCTGCCTGCCAGTGCAGGGGACACGGTTTCGAGCCCTGGTCCGGGAAGATCCCACGTGCCACGGGGCAGCTAAGCCCACGTGCCACAACTACTGAAACCCGCACGCCTGGAGCCTGCGCTCTGCAACAAGAGAAGCCACCGCAATGAGAAGCCCATGCACTGCAACAGAGTAGACCCTGCTTACCCCAGCTAGAGAAAGCCCGCGTGCAGCAATGAAGACCCAATGCAGCCAAAAATAAATTAATTTAAAAAAAATAATAAAAGTAATGGAAGATAATATCAAACTATTAATGAAATAGGCCATACCCGGGGACCTGGGCCATTTTTGACCTATTAAATATAGGCAGCTGGGGAAACAGGTTGAGAAGTTTATTCTAGTCAGTAGCTATAATTGGACTTCTGGCCATGGGTATAATCCACATGGTTAAATTTCTCCTGTTTTGTATCAGCAGGCAAATGTCTTTCTCCCAGGTGTATGTACAAAATAAAGTTGTTTTTCCTGTATGTAACTACAAAATAAAGGCTTATCCTGAAGCTCAGCTGACCATGGAAACTGAACTGACCACGTCAGAGGAACATAACTGAGGTTCCCCATTTCTCAATTGTCTTGTTCAAATGAGGCCAAGTATCTGCTTGCTGTTTTCCTCTTCCGTGGGATGAGACATCTGAGGATGGTCCTCCTCAGCTCCGAGAGACCCATAATCCACGTGCAGCTGATGGTGCCTCTGACTAAGTGAGATAACCACACAGTAAGACTGATGAGCAGTGCTTTTTGTGAAAGAGTTTAATCAAAAGGGGGGAATGTGAAAGGATTTTAATCTAAAATGGAACGGAAGGATGTGAAATGGAGAATCTCCTGCGCATGCCCCCTCAGAAGACACGTACCCTCAGAAAACAAAGATGGTGGGACTGATTTCCCATAAATGCTTGATTTATGAGAGATCGAAATTTATCCTCCAACCAGTGAGCATCTGCCAGGAATTTCTCTGCATCTTGGAAGCACTTGCTGCATGGTCCCTAATTGGATTTCCCCCTTTTGCACTCTTTGCCCAAAGAAGCAACCCACCCCAAGCCTTCAGTGAACTCACCTGTAGCTCGCTTCAGTATGTGTGTCCTGAATTGCAGTTTCTCTGCTGTTCCCAAATAAACTCTATTTCTGGTAACTGGAGTTTGCCTTAGTTTACCTCCTTTTAGGTTGAAAGAAACCCCAGTCCACACCTTACTAGCCAGGTAACCTTGGGTTAGTCACCTCACCCTTCCCATCCTCAGTGTCCTCTTCTGTGCACTGGGGATGCACCCTCCCTGCCAGCGTGGCTGTGGGTATAAATTGTGGGAAATTGCCTGTCACATGGGGACCTTGCTAGTACAGAAGGTGTTGGAATTAGGTGTGTGGCTTGACTGGGTGGGGAAAGCAGGGCTTTGTCCGTTAAGCTGGCAGTGACAGCTGCTGCAAGAGAGAGCAGTTGGTGTGTGTGGTCTACACAGAAGGTGCTGGTGGACATATTTGTTAGACAATGGAGACTTTAATTACATAGCCAAATTGTAGTTGGTTTCCGTGTGTAACCAGTTTGGCAGTAGGTGTCAGTATCCATTCCTATTCTTTGACCCAGAAATCCTACAGTCACAATCCTACTATTGCCATATAAAGAATTACTTGGGATGGGAAGCCATGTAAACTAAGATGTGTTCGTGTAGATGTTATCAGAAGTATATCAGGGGGGAAATCTTCAGTATTTAACAACTGGTAAAAGGTAAAGTGTCTTAGCTCTTAAAATGTCATCAGATGTTATCTTGAAGACCTGCCTGTCTCATGTTTTGCATTTGTAATATATGAAAAAGCAGAATATAAGCTTGGGAATCGGACTTCCCTGGTGGTGCAGTGGTTAAGAATCCCCCTGCCAATGCAAGGGAGATGGGTTCAAGCCCTGGTCCAGGAAGATCCCACGTGCCGCGGAGCAGCTAAGCCTGTGCGCCACAACCTCTGAGCCTGCGCTCTGGAGCCCGCGAGCCACAACTACTGAGCCCGCGTGCCACAAGTACTGACGCCCGCATGCCTAGAGCCTGTGCTCCGCAAGAAGAGAAGCAACCGCAATGAGAAGGCCACGCACCGCAACCAAGAGTAGTCCCCGCTCACCGCAACTAGAGAAAACCCACACGCAGCAACGAAGAACCAACGCGGCCAAAAATAAATAAATTTATTTATTTTAAAAAAAAAAAAAAAAAAAAAAGCTTGGGAATAGCTCGGATGTGGCTGTATGCATGTAGCAGATTGCGGAGGACCTAAGCTGGGAGGTGTAGGAATTCGGGTTTCTGTGTGGAGTGACTTTGGACTCAGCAGAAGGTGATGGGGACCGGTGGAGGGTTTTTCCTCTCCTGATTTTCATTTGTTTCCTTAAATCATTTAGCTTTTTGAAAAAGATAATGTAACATTTATGTAGTATTTCGAATTTTTAAAGTAATGGCAATGTTTTATTTTGAAACAGAATTACCTAAGAAAGATGCACTTAAAACAATCGTAGTTCATAAATTCCAGTTGGAGCTATATTTCCTAACTGTGAAGCATTATTGTTCTCTTTGACCCTGAAGCACTGATTAAGGGGTTTGGGCTTTGCTCGGATACCTAAGAATGAGTCATCGACCAGTGGTCAGCTTGAAACCACCCTTCAGAGGGGCATCTGAAGTGGATTTACTACATCTAGGACTCAGGAAATGTGATCACCAAACCTGACTGTTTTTAGCTCTGCATTTAGATAGGGCTTTGGAATTGTACTAATATCAAGTTCTATTTAAGTCATAAATGTCTTAGAACCCACCTTTAATATTTATAGGTAGAAAGTCACCTAATCTGGAGATACTCTTTTTTTTGTATGTCTCTCGTAAAAGTGGGATCATAATTGAGTGCATTACGTGATGTTTTTACACAAGTGCTGCATCTTCAGTGTACAAGCAGTAGAACATACAGAATCAACAAAATTTGAAGATCATCCTGAGCTAAGGTTTGAAAGACAGTGTGAGCACCAGTAAATTCTTTGAATTGCTCTAAAATAATCGGTCTAGCATAAATAAATGTTTCCTGTTTCTGAAACTTATTATAGACATAAGGCAAGTTAAAATGGATGAATTGTCTTTATTCTGAAGTCTGGTCATTTTAGTGCCAACAAGAGAAATTTTTTATGAGTAAATTGTGCTTGCACTGAAAGGCGTATAAGTTTTTAATTTGATGAGTTTTCACAAGTGTGGATATGCAAGTAACCAGTACCCCATTCAAGGTCTTGACATTTCCATCACCCCAGAACAGTCCCTCCTGCCCCTCCTTACGAGGTCCTCATCCCCCACTGAAAATCGCTGTGAAAAGAGTACATTTGAAAATTTTTTGTCTGTGAATATTTAGTAATGTTAATTCTTTTTTAATTTGTAGGAGATAAAAACATTCAGATGGCAGATAACAGGTAAGCCAAAATGGACTTTGTTTATTGGAGTTTAAATTTTAGTTGGTGGGCAAGAGGCAAGCCTTATTTCTGTAAACATCATTGGGTGCTCCAGCTGATGGCTCTTTTTTTTCCCTCTGTGTTTTTGAGCCCATAAAGAACTTGCTTTAGATGTGAAAAGTGTGTCATATATTGATACTAAAAACTTCTGTGTTTTTAGAGACTTTGTGTGGCTGTCCCACAGAGCCACTGTGGGCACTGTGTCCTAACAGCTTGGCAAGGTGGCTTTTTTTTTTATAACGGTGAGGAAAGTATTTCATAGGTAACACATGTGTGTGTCTGTAGTTGTCTTCTGCTCAAATCTGAAGTTAATATGTTAAATAAAAACGCCATTGTGCTATTTGTGAAACTTTTTTTAGAGTAATACTTTTTAAATATATTGTTTTAGTTTTTCAGATGGGGTTCCTTCAGATTCCTTGGAAGCTGCTAAAAATGCAAGTAATACAGGTCAGTTCACTGCACATGGGAAAGTGAACCATTGGAGAGTTTGCGTGCAGAGCAGGGAGGCTCCTACTCAAACCTCGGAAATCAAGTGAATAGCACAGTGCACCTCTACCTGCCGTCTCTCGCTGTTAGCGCTGATTACCAGGCGCTCAGGCTTTTTTCACCTGTGCCTTTACTTCTCTTCCCTTGATTATTCTGAAGCACATCCCAGATATCATATTATTTTGATATGATCATAAATTCATAGATATATTACTTTTCCTCCATTTTCTTTTTCTTTTTTTTTTTAAATACATTTATTTATTTATTTTTGGCTGCGTCGGGTCTTCGTTGCTGCGCACGGGCTTTCTCTAGTTGCGGAGAGCGGGGGCTGCTCTTCGTTGCAGTGCGCAGGCTTCTCATTGCGGTGGCTTCTCTTGTTGCGGAGCACGGTCTCTAGAGCGCAGGCTCAGTAGTTGTGGTGCACGGGCTTAGTTGTTCCATGGCATATAGGATCTTCCTGGACCAGGGCTCAAACCCATGTCCCCTGCATTGTCAGGTGGATTCTCAACCATTGCGCCTCCAGGGAAGGCCCTTTCCTCCATTTTCAAGTATTTATCTATACTTGTTTTTCCCTCTGAACTGTTTGAAAGCAAGTTGTGGATATTCTGGCTTTTTCTTCCTAAAACAGTTTAGTATAAATTTCCTGAAAACTAGGGATAAAGTCTCATAACCACAATGCCATTACCACAACCAAGAAATTTAATGTCAGTCCAATACTACTAGCTAATGTACAGTCATATTCATATTTTCCTGGTTTTCTCAGCTTTTCTTTTACCTCCGTACCCCACACTCAAATCCAGGGCTGGCCAAGGATCACGTATCACGTTTAGTTCTGTCCCCTTTTTTCTAGAGTTATCCCCCCACCTTTTTTACCCTTCCTCGCCGGGACACATCAGCAGGCTGTGTGCTCCAGCTGTCTTGTACCATGCTCTGGATGGGTCTCGTGGTTTTCTGGATGGGTCTCGTGGTTTTCTCCTCACTAGATTCAGAGTAAATGTCTTGGCAAGACAAGCACATAGGCGACCTGATGGAATGGGAATGCAGTTAGGCCTGTGATGGGGCTCCCGAGAGTGCTGACCTGGTGAAGACAGTGTCTGCCGGTCTCTGCCCTTAGGGTCCTTGGAGTAAAGAAGCTGTTGGGCACCCTGCGGGAATCCTGTTCTCCGTTAAGACTCTTACGTAGGGATTCGGGCACCACTGATGATCCTTGCTGAATCCGTGATGACGTTGGTGGTCACCAAAGGGTGTTTTTCTAATCCTATCAATCTGACTAACAGATTACATCTATTAAAGAAATACTTCCCTACTCCCCCGCTACCCCATTTTAATGTTACTGTAGACTCATGGATTAGCTTTTTATTCAGTGTTTAATCATTTGCCATCATTATTCTTTTCTTTAATAAATAAATTATTTTATATAGCAGGTTCTTATTAGTCATCCATGTTATAAACATCAGTGTATACATGTCAATCCTAATTGCCCAGTTCATCACACCACCAGCCCCACTCCCCGCCGCTTTCCCCCCTTGGTGTCCATACGTTTGTTCTCTACATCTGTGTCTCAATTTCTGCCCTGCAAACCGGTTCATCTGTACCATTTTTCTACGTTCCACATGTATTTGTTAATATACGATATTTGTTTTTCTCTTTCTGACTTCACTCTGTATGACAGTCTTAGATCCATCCACATCTCTGCAAATGACCCAGTTTCGTTCCTTTTTATGGCTGAGTAATATTCCTTTGTATATATGTACCACTTCTTCTTTATCCATTCATCTGTCGATGGGCATTTAGGTTGTTTCCATGTCCTGGCTATTGTAAATAGAGCTGTAATGAACACTGGGGTGCATGTGTCTTTTTGAATTAAGGTTTTCTCTGGGTATATGCCCCGTAGTGCGATTGCTGGGTCATGTGGTAATTCTATTTTTACTTTTTTAAGGAACCTCCATACTGTTCTCCGTAGTGGCTATATCAATTTACATTCCCACCAACAGTGCAAGAGGGTTCCCTTTTCTCCACACCCTCTCCAGCATTTGTTGTTTGTAGATTTTCTGATGATGCCCATTCTAACTGGTGTGAGGTGATACCTCATTGTAGTTTTGATTTGCATTTCTCTAATAATTAGTGATGTTGAGCAGCTTTTCATGTGCTTCTTGGCCATCTGTATATCTTCTTTGGAGAAATGTCTATTTAGGTCTTCTGCCCATTTTTGGATTGGGTTGTTTGTTTTTTTAATATTGAGCTGCATGACCTGTTTATATATTTTGGAGATTAATCCTTTGTCCATTGATTCTTTTGCAAATATTTTCTCCCATTCTGAGGGTTGTCTTTTCGTCTTGTGTGTGGTTTCCTTTGCTGAGCAAAAGCTTTTAAGTTTCATTAGGTCCCATTTGTTAATTTTTGTTTTTATTTCCATTACTCTAGGAGGTGGATCAAAAAAGATCGTGCTGTGATTTATGTCAGAGTGTTCTTCCTATGTTTTCCTCTAAGAGTTTTATAGTGTCCGGTCTTACATTTAGGTCTCTAACCCATTTTGAGTTTATTTGTGTGTATGGTGTTAGGGAGTATTCTAATTTCATTCTTTTACATGTAGCTGTCCAGTTTTCCCAGCACCGCTTATTGAAGAGACTCTCTTTTCTCCATTGTATATTCTTGCCTCTTTGTCATAGATTAGTTGACCATAGGTGCCTGGGTTTACCTCTGGGCTTTCTGTCTTGTTCCATTGATCTGTGTTTCTGTTTTTGTGCCAGTACCATATTGTCTTGATTACTGTAGCTTTGTAGTATAGTCTGGAATCAGGGAGTCTGATTCCTTCAACTCCGTTTTTTTCCCTGAAAACTGCTTTGGCTCTTTGGGGTCTTTTGTGTCTCCATACAAATTTTAAGATTTTTTGTTCTAGTTCTGTAAAAAAAAAATGCCATTGGTAATTTGATAGGGATTACACTGAATCTGTAGATTGCTTTGGGTAGTATAGTCATTTTCACAGTATTGATTCTTCCAATCCAAGAACATGGTATATCTCTCCATCTGTTGGTATCACCTTTAATTTCTTTCATTAGTGTCGTATAGTTTTGTGCATACAGGTCTTTTGTCCTCTCCCTAGGTAGGTTTATTCCTAGGTATTTTATTCTTTTTGTTGCAGTGGTAAATGGGAGTGTTTCCTTAATTTCTCTTTCAGATTTTTCATCACTAGTGTATAGGAATGCAAGAGATTTCTGTGCGTTAATTTTGTATCCTGTAACTTTACCAAATTCATTGATTAGCTCTAGTAGTTTTCTGGTGGCATCTTTAAGATTCTCTATGTATAGCATCATGTCATCTGCAAACAGTGACAGTTTTACTTCTTCTTTTCCAATTTGGATTCCTTTTATTTCCTTTTCTTCTCTGATTGCTGTGGCGAGGACTTCCAAAACTATGTTGAATACTAGTGGTGAGAGTGGACATCCTTGTCTTGTTCCTGATCTTAGAGGAAATGCTTTCAGTTTTTCACCATTGAGAATGATGTTTGTTGTGGGTTTGTCATATATGGCCTTTATTATGTTGAGGTAAGTTCCCTCTATGCCCACTTTCTGGAGAGTTTTTATCATAAATGGGTGTAGAATTTTGTCAAAAGCTTTTTCTGCATCTATTGAGATGATCATTTGGTTTTTACTTTTCAATTTGTTAATATGGTTTACCACATTGATTGATTTGTGTATATTGAAGAATCCTTGCTGCCCTGGGATAAATCCCATTTGATCATGGTGTATGATCCTTTTAATGTGTTGTTGGATTCTGTTTGCTAGTATTTTGTTGAGGATTTTTGCATCTATGTTCATCAGTGATATTGGCCTGTAGTTTTTTTTTCTCTGTGACATGTTTGTCTGTTTTTGGTATCAGGGTGACGGTGACGGCCTCATAGATTGAGTTTGGGAGTGTTCCTTCCTCTGCAGTTTTTTGGAAGAGTTTGAGAAGGATGGGTGTTAGCTCTTCTCTAAATGTTTGATAGAATTCACCCGTGAAGCCATCTGGTCCTGAACTTTTGTTTGTTGGAAGATTTTTAATCACAGTTTCAATTTCATCACTTGTGATTGGTCTGTTCATATTTTCTATTTCTTCCTGGTTCAGTCTTGGAAGGTTATACCTCTCTAAGGATTTGTCCATTTCTTCCAGGTTGTCCATTTTATTGGCATAGGGTTGCTTGTAGTAGTGTCTTAGGATGCTTTGTATTTCTGTGGTGTCTGTTGTAACTTCTCCTTTTTCATTTATAATTTTATTGATTTGAGTTCTCTCCCTCTTTTTCTTGATGAGTCTGGCTAATGGTTTATCGATTTTGTTTTATCTTCTCAAAGAACCAGCTTTTAGTTTTATTGATCTTTGCTATTGTTTTCTTTATTTCTATTTCATTTATTTCTGCTCTGATTTTTCTGATTTCTTTCCTTCTGCTAACTTTGGGTTTTGTTTGTTCTTCTTTCTCTAGTTCCTTTAGGTGTGAGGTTAGATTGTTTATTGGAGATTTTTCTTGTTTCTTGAGGTAGGCTTGTATAGCTATAAACTTCCCTCTTAGAACTGCTTTTGCTGCATCCTGTAGGTTTTGGATTGTCATGTTTTCATTGCCATTTGTCTCTTGGTATTTTTTAATTTCCTCTTTGATTTCTTCAGTGATCTCTTGGTTATTTAGTAACGTATTGTTTAGGCTCCATGTGTTTGTGTTTTTTACGTTTTTTCCCCTGGAATTGATTTCTAATCTCATAGCATTGTGGTCAGAAAAGATGCTTGATATGATTTCAGTTTTCTTAAATTTACTGAGGCTTGATTTGTGACCTAAGATGTGATCTATCCTGGAGAATATTCCATGAGCACTTGAGAAAAAAGTGTAATCTGCTGTTTTTGGATGGAATGTCCTATAAATATCAATTAAATCTATCTGGTCAGGCTTCCCTGGTGGCGCAGTGGTTGAGAGTCCGCCTGCCGATGCAGGGGACACGGGTTTGTGCCCCGGTCCGGGAAGATCCCACATGCCGCAGAGCACCTGGGCCCGTGAGCCATGGCCGCTGAGCCTGCACGTCCGGAGCCTGTGCTCCGCAACGGGAGAGGCCGCAACAGTGAGAGGCCCATGTACCGCCAAAAAAAAAAAAGTCTATCTGGTCTATTGTGTCGTTTAAAGCTTGTGTTTACTTACTAATTTTCTGTTTGGATGATCTGTCCATTGGTGTAAGTGAGGTGTTAAATTCCCCCACTATTGTGTGACTGTCGATTTCCTCTTTTATAGCTGTTAGCAGTTGCCTTATGTATTGAGGTGCTCCTGTGTTAGGTGCATATGTATTTATAATTGTTATATCTTCTTCTTGGATTGATCCCTTGATCATTATGTAGTGATCTTCCTTGTCTCTTGTAACATTCTTTATTTTAAAGTCTATTTTATCTGATATGAGTATTGCTACTCCAGCTTTCTTTTGATTTCTATTTGCATGGAATATCTTTTTCCATTCCCTCACTTTCAGTCTGTATGCGTCCCTAGGTCTGAAGTGGGTCTCTTGTAGACAGCATATATATGGGTCTTGTTTTTGTATCTATTCAGCGAGCCTGTGTCTTTTGGTTGGAGCATTTAATCCGTTCACGTTTAAGGTAATTATCGATATGTATGTTCTTATTACCATTTTCTTAATTGTTTTGGGTTTGTTTTTGTAGGTCCTTTTCTTCTCCTGTGTTTCCCACTTAGAGAAGTTCCTTTAGCATTTGTTGTAGAGCTGGTTTGGTGGTGCTGAATTCTCTTAGCTTTTGCTTGTCTGTAAAGATTTTGATTTCTCTGTCAAATCTGAATGAGATCCTTGTGGGTAGAGTAATCTTGGTTGTAGGTTCTTCCCTTTCATCACTTTAAGTATATCATGCCGCTCCCTTCTGGCTTGTAGAGTTTCTGCTGAGAAATCAGCTGTTAATCTTATGGGTTTCCTTGTATGTTATTTGTCGTTTTTCCCTTGCTGCTTTCAATCAATTTTTTTTGTCTTTAATTTTTACCAATTTGATTACCATGTGTCTCGGCATATTTCTCCTTGGGTTTATCCTGTATGGGACCCTGTGTGCTTCCTGGACTTCGGTGGCTATTTCCTTTCCCATGTTTGGGAAGTTTTCGACTATAATCTCTTCAAATATTTTCTCGGGTCCTTTCTCTCTCTCTTCTCCTTCTGGGACCCCTATAATGCGAATGTTGTTGCATTTAGTGTTGTCCCAGAGGTCTCTTAGGCTGTCTTCATTTCTTTTCATTCCTTTTTCTTTATTCTGTTCCGCAGCAGTGAATTCCACCATTCTGTCTTCCAGGTCACTTATCCGTTCTTCTGCCTCAGTTATTCTGCTGTTGATTCCTTCTAGTGTAGTTTTCATTTCAGTTGTTGTATTATTCATCTCTGTTTCTATGTTCTTTAATTCTTCTAGGTCTTTTTAAAACATTTCTTGTATCTTCTCGATCTTTGTCTCCATTCTTTTTCCGAGGTCCTGGATCATCTTCACTACCATTATTCTGAATTCTTTTTCTGGAAGTTTGCCTATCTCCACTTCATTTAGTTGTTTTTCTGGGGTTTTATCTTGTTCCTTCATCTGGGACATAGCCCTCTGCCTTTTCATCTTGTCTGTCTTTCTGTGAATGTGGTTTTTGTTCCACAGGCTGCAGGATTATAATTCTTCTTGCTTCTGCTGTCTGCCCTCTGGTGGATGAGGCTATCTAAGAGGCTTGTGCCAGTTTCCTGATGCGAGGGACTGGTGGTGGGTAGAGCTGGCTGTTGCTCAGGTGGGCAGAGCTCAGTAAAACTTTAATCCGCTTGTTTGCTGATGGGTTGGGCTGGGTTCCCTCCTGTTGGTTGTTTGGCCTCAGGCGACCCAACACTGGAAGCCTACCCAGGCTGTTCGGTGGGGCTAATGGCGGACTCTGGGAGGGCTCACCCCAAGGAGCACTTCCCAGAACTTCTACTGCCAGTGTCCTTGTCCCCCTGGTGAGCCACAGCCATCCCCCACCTCTGCAGGAAACCCTCCAACACTAGCAGGTAGGTCTGGTTCAGTCTCCCCTGGGGTCACTGCTCCTTCCCCTGGGTCCCGATGTGCACACTACTTTGTGTGTGCCCTCCAAGAGTGGAGTCCCTGTTTCCCCCAGCCCTGTCAGGGTCCTGTAATCAGATCCCGCTAGCCTTCAAAGTCTGATTCTCTAGGAATTCCTCCTTCCGTTGCTGGCCCCCCAGGTTTGGAAGCTTGACGTGGGGCTCAGAATCTTCACTCCAGTGGGTGGACTTCTGTGGTATAAGTGTTCTGCAGTTTGTGAGTCACCCACCCAGCAGTTATGGGATTTGATTTTACTGTGATTGCACCCCTCCTACCATCTCATAGTGGCTTCTCCTTTGTCTTTGGATGTGGGGTGTCTTTTTGGTGAGTTCCAGTGCCTTCCTGTCGATCATTGTTCAGCAGTTAATTGTGATTCTGGTGTCCTCGCAGGAGGGAGTGAGCGCACGTCCTTCTGCTCCACCATCTTCCCTCACTGTCCATCGTTATTCTTTTTTGTGTGCAAATTGTCCCATTTGCCAATGGGGTCCCTTTAAGCTGGCTTCTGTGTCCTTTTGCTGCATCCCCGTCCATTTTGAGTTCTCTCTAGCTTTGTGGCATAGGCGATGTTCCATTTTCCCTTGAACTTGCCTTTCCCCAGACCTGGAATCTACATTTATGCAAGGAGGCCTGTATCTTTTAGTTGGGGCAGAGATTTAAAAACCAAAATATAAATCCCATCTGCCATTATTTCTAGACCTTTCAGTGGCCAGAACTAGCGACGTGTGTTTGTGTATGTGTTTAGTATTTACATAGTTTTGTATACACACAGTTACATATGTTTTGTACACATACACGGTGCTTCGTGTTAGTGATTGAGATTGTAGTTAAAAGGTAAAATTGCGTGCCTACTTGTTGTATTCAGCTTGCCCGCATCACTGTCTTACAAAAGGTGGGGGAGAACTCTAGGTCTGCGCTGCCTTTTGAGTCGGGTGAGGGCCCTAAGTTTGGGTTTCCGTACAGTGTCGCTGAGAGGGAATCTTTTCAACACAGAGCCTGTGCCGCGAGCCAGGTGTGAGCCAGTCTGCGGCACAGCTGACCTCCCTCTCAGCGTGGT